AGTGGTAAGTATACAAATTGAAAAGACGATGTTTGGGGCAGAAATAAGAGAAATGAAAAGAGCAGATAGAATATGGAGCATTCTTTGGTTTTATTTCCAAAGCATACTTTTAATAGAGTTCCACTATAAAGAAAAACTGAAAAGCTGCCCTCAAGGCTGACTTTCTCCTGAACAGAACAACATAAGATAGGCTTTTGGAAAAAGAAGGGATAAACCACCGATATTGTCTCTTTTGCTATGCCTTCCAAGGTGGAATCTGTTAGATATTCACATGAACACATGTATATCACATGAACAGAAGGATCTCTGCCTTTCATGAAATGATTAACCAACAAAAAAATTTAAAGCTGTTTTGTTTCAAACAGTATCTCTGCTTTAAGTTACCTGCAAACCATGCTTCCAGGATCTAACCTTACCAACTAAAATTCATTCATTTGGTATTCCAGTTTTTTTCCCTTTGAGGATTTTTTTTTGTAAGAAGGAAACAAATTAGAAAAATCATAAGAAATCAAGGGAACCTGGTTATGTATATTTCTTTTAAAAAATATACACAATAAAAAACACAATAAAATTTTTGTCACAATAAAAAAAATTAAGCACCGTGAAATTACAAGTGGAAGAGATTACTATTCAGACTACTATCATTCCTCCTATAAAATTCTATGGTTAAGATAAGGCAATTGCACTTGCATGAAATGTTTCTTTTATTTTGCTTTTATTTCAGTAAGACGACATCTGATGGCATCAAGCTGAAACTGCATCCTTAACAGGAATGCTGTCATGCCCCTGGTGGAGTCTGGCCATTCACATCCTGCAAAATTTTAATGCTTTAATATTTTAGTGTTTAGTTTTAATATGGTTTTATATGTTGTTTTAATTTTTGATTGGAAGATATACAGCTACTGTGTATAAATGTTTTAAATAAATAAAACAGGTTGCTTGCTATTACACTTATTACACTTATTATTATTACAATTAGCACAGGGCCCCCAGGGCTGTGTTCTCTCTCCACTTCTCTTCTCTCAATGACTGCATCTCAAAGATCCCTCTGTTAAAGTACTGAATTTTGCAGATGATACAACAGTGATTGGTCTCATATGAGACAATGACAAATCTGTACACAGACAGGATGTTGAACAATTAGCCTTGTGGTACGACCGGAACAATCTTGAACTAAACACACTCAAAACCATAGAAATGGTGGTAGATTTTAAGAGAAACCCCCCTATACTACCACCTCTTACAATACCAGACAACACAGTATCAACAGTAGAGACCTTCAAATTTCTAGGTTCTATCATATCATGAGACCTAAAATGGACAGCTAACATCAAAAATGTCATCAAAAAAGCACAACAAAGAATGTTCTTTCTGCACCAACTCAGAAAGCTCAAACTGCCCAAGGAGCTGTTGATTCAGTTTTTTTTTTTGTAAATTTTATTTGAGTTTTCATGAAAAGAAATACAAATAAAACATCTTTTTTGAAAGCAGCATAATCCCGGGTTACATTTCTTCGTACAGATGCAAATTCAGGTTCATGCTCATTTTTATATTCTATTCCATATCTTATTACTATTTTACATTTTCTACATAGCTTCTCCCCTTTTTAATTTTCTCAATCTTATTTTATTTCATCTCAATTCAAATATTTATATTTTTGTCTGTCCTGTTTCAATTGTCTATTACCTTTTCTCATTAAACAAAATTTCTCCTGTAGTTACTGATTGGAGTATGACGCCTTTATATCTTTCCCCTAAAGTTGTAACACTCAATACATAACTTTTATTCGGATTCTGCTTGGTATATGCTTAAACTACACACTGTATTCTTGAAAAAAAAAAGAAAAAAAAATTATAAATGTATATAATTAAAACAACATTCCATTCCAATTCAATTCTATCATTAATATTCATTAAAGTCTTAACATTTTTCACGTTGCTTTTCAATTAAATATCATATTTCTATGGGAACAATTATAAACTTTCCATAGTTAATTCCCCCCCTTCACTTATATTTTATAAAACATTGACTAATTAAAATGTTCCCATTCCTTCCTAATTCAATTTTCTCATTTATTTCATTTTATTCACAAACATTTCACTAAATTACACTATTTTATCCCTCATTCTAATCATATGTTGTTTCCAATTTTCTAAAGTTATTTCTATTACAAATATAACAATACAATCTTATGTACCTTTACAGAATCCCCTTTTCAGTTAATTTTTCACCCATTATCTCTAAATAGGTCCTGTTTCTTTATATCTTACTCCGGACCTTTGTAACTTCTTTTCCTTTCCTTCTTCCTTCTCTCTCCCCTTTTTACCCCTTTGTCTCTCTACCTCTATTTCTCTCTTCTGTATTCCCCTTTTCTGTTGCTTTCCAGTACTATACTTACTTTTCAAATTATTTTTCTTTTCTTTGGTTGTTTTTTTAAGTCTTAAATTCTTCATTCTCTTTCCCCCCTTTCCTTTTTCTTCCTCACATAGAATTACTTGTTCATTAAAGATAGTTTCTTCTTTGTCCCAGTCTTCTTGTTTTGCAGTCTTTTCTTGTTGTTTCTCATAGTTCCAGATCTCCATTGAAAAACGAAGCCAAAAGAACCCTTCCCTTCTTGTGCATCTTCTTTGTACTTTTTAAGTTCCATTTTCAATTCATCCAGAAGTGATGCCATTGTATAAATTTTTAAACAACCACCCGATTGATTTTAGCCATTCAAATATAATAACCAAAAATCCAAAAGTTGCCAAATAATCCAAATACATGCAAGCTGTTTCGTTTTTGCTCTTTCTTTCTTGTTTTTCACTTTCTCTTCCTGGGGTTACTATTTAGTTGCAAAGTTTCAGCTAAAATGTATCTTTTAGAAGTCTTATTGAAGTTTTACTTTAGATTCTTTTAAAGTCCAGGTAGTCTCCTCCCTCTTCCAGATCCTGCCCTTTTTTTTCCCTCTCCCTTCCTGCTTATAGAAGAAAAGGTTTTTAATGTCCAGAAATCTTTATTGTCCCTTTGGCATTTTGTTTTATTTTCAGCTTAATTGCCTATTGATGCCAAAGCGGATTTTTCCGATTTCTTATTTAAGTCTCTTAGTTGTCAATATAGGGAAGGAGAGAGAGAAAAAAAAGCCAAACCTTTCCCTTTTCACTTTCTTTCACTGCTTCCGACTCTTCTTTGGGAGCGATGTTATTTTTGTAAAATTTAAATTCCAGGGTACCTTAGTTGTTGCTTTTTCAACTTAACCCGGTCAGCCAAAACTTTCACTTCTTATCCTCCTCCTGCATGTTCTTTTCCAATTGAGTTCCTCTTTGAGGTGGCCATTTCTGACCACCGCTCCTACTGCCTTCGGGAAAGGGAGCAATGGCCAGCTGAGGAGGAGAGATGCGGCTCTCCCCCCTCTTCACCACCTCTACAGGGTGGCTTAGCCCCGAAACCAGCCGGCTCAGGGTGCTCCAGCAGCGAGCCCAGACAGAAACCGCACACTATTGCAATTCCTGTCTGTCGCTGAAGCCCTTCAAACCAGAAGTCGCTGTTGATTCAGTTTTGAGTCTGTCATCAGCACCTCTATAACTGCCTGGTTTGGCTCTGCAACCAAATAAGACAGACACAGACTTCAACAGATAATTAGAACTGCAGAAAAAACAATTGCTACCAACCTGACTTCCGTTGAGGACTGTGAAAATATCTAGACCCCTCACATCCTGAACATTAATTGTTTCAATTTCTACCCTCAAAACAACACTATAGAGCAGTGGCCCCCCAACCTTTTTCAAACCAGGGACCGGTTTCACGATTATTTATTCTTCCACGGATAGGTACCTGAGTAACGTGAGACTCCACCACCATTGGGATGGCTTTTCGTTCGAAGCCGCCCCCCCCCCACGCTTCGACGAAACTAAGGCGCGAGCACCCAAACGCCACTTTCCAACTGAAAAACCGGAAGCACTTTCCAACCAAAAACCCAGAAGCAACCGAAAACCCGGAAGCGCTGTCGAAACAAGATGGCGGCGCCCAAGCTTTGCGGCCCGATAAAAAATGATCCACGGACCGGTACCAGTCCGGGGACCGGTGGTTGGGGACCCCTGCTATAGAGCATTGCACACTAGAACAACTAGACACAAGGACAATTTTTTCCTGAATGCCATCACTCTGCTAACTAATTCCCACAACACTGTCAAACTATTTACTAAGACTGTATTACTATTCTTCTTCTCATCCTTCCTATTACCTATCTCCTCCCACTTATGACTATAACCTTGTTGCTTGTATCTTTACGATTTATATTGTTTTAGTTTCCTAGTATGATTTGATTGCTTATTTAGTATCCTATGACTATCATTGTCTTGTAACTTATGATTCTTGATTGTTTTTTTTATGTACATACACCGAAGACAAGTTCCTTGTGTGTCCAATCACACTTGGCCAATAAAGAATTCTATTCTATTCTAATTAGCTTAGTAGCAGGTTGTGAAAAGCACATTGCTAATATACTTAAGGTAAATATCCCACCTTCCCTGAAAAGCTCAGGTATATCACATTTCCTTCTCCTCCAATGCGATGTAGGTTCACAGATATCACCAGAGGCCGGAATTTGCATCTTGACATCATGTTGAGGTTTTTGCGACATTAGTTTTGTAAGGTGTACAATTTAGATGGATATGTGAGTTGAAAAAGTACGACTGTCCCAAAGTCACGGACCAAACTTTCATCGCCGAGTTTCCCCAGGCTTACCACTTACCACTACAAAACAGAGGCTGAGTTATGACAGCCTGTTGTGCGACCCCAGCAATTGCATATGATTCAACAAACCCAGCTTTTCAAATTATACTTAATTATACCTAAAGCTAAGCACCATCCCAAGTCGAAAATGAAGAAAAGGGCGGGGCACGTTGAACACGCGCAGTTCCTTGACATTCGTCTCTTCCTATCAGATCTCGACGTCTCCGAACGACGCTGATAGTGGCCTACGGTCATCCAAGACTCCGCCCACCAATATAAAAGCCTGCCTGGGGGCCGGCCGTCATTACGCTACGGAACAGGCCGTAACTATCAGCGGCTCTCAGGACCGTTTTTCCCGCAACTTGTTTTCGGCTCTTACATCTATCCTTTCCCCCCTCCCCTTCCCCTCCTCTTTCCTTTTCTAGGTCGCAGGGATGCCGCGTGTCTATATTGGCCGCTTAAGTTACCATGTGCGGGAAAAGGACATCCAGCGTTTCTTCAGCGGCTACGGGCGCTTGCTGGAGGTCGACTTAAAAAACGGGTGAGGAGGGCGAAGGGGAAGTAAGGCCTAGCGGTTTTTTTTTGGAGGCTCGTGGCGGGAAAGGTGGGGAGGGCGGGGGGAGAAAGTAAGGCCTAGCGGGTTCTGTGGAGGCTCGTAGCGCGAGCGCCGACCGGAAAGGTTACTATTTGGCGCGAACCGCTGGTGGTAAAAAATTGCCCGACCGCGGCAGGCCTGCCATGGCTTCCTCTCGGGCCGCGTGGCGTCGTGTTCAAGATGGCGGCCGAATGCAGCTTCGTCTCTTTTGTCCCGTTAGCGGGCGCGGGGTGGGGTGTTGTAAAGCGGAGGCTTATCGCAGTCGTGCAAATAAGCAGCCTCTCCACATAATTCACGCGGCGGCGCGGATTCTCGGGCCGAATCGCGGGCGTCCCTTAGAGGGAACCTGGGTGTGGGGAGCCCCCAGCCTTGATGGCGCTTTCTCTCTCCCTTTTCTTAACCGCCACGCCCTTCCTTCCTGCAGCTACGGCTTTGTGGAATTCGAGGATTCCCGGGACGCCGAGGATGCCGTTTACGAGCTGAACGGCAAGGATCTCTGCGGGGAGCGGGTGATCGTCGAGCACGCCCGCGGCCCCCGACGCGACCGGGATGGCTACAGCTACAGCAGCCGCAGTGAGTGTGGCTCCGCTGCGGCCTCCTTAGGCGCGCGGGGACAGCGATGGGTCAACGGGAAGAGGAGGAGGAGGAGCGCAAGTGGGGCGAGCGGAGGGCCATAAACGTGGCGGAGGGTTTGTGGGGGCGGGGGTGTGTGTGAAACCTCTGGTAGAGGAAGATTCCTTGGACCTTAATTTGGAAAGAGGGGTGGGTTGGTTAACCATCCCTCCTGTCCGAGAGGAGTCGACATTCCCCCTCGGGATTTAAAATTGACGTTTTCTTGACGGGGATTGGGCATTTTTGGTGCAAATGGCATTCATAAGTGCAGAGCCACATAAAGGAGGGGGCATATTGGGAGTTATATATACAATACTCACTGCTCTTAATTAAACACATTTGGCACAAAGCTTCCAAAGAAGCAGGAAAGGAAGTGGGAAGTTTTTCCACCACCTAGAGCTGTTCCTTAAAGTGGTCACAGCTCTTATAAATAAATTAAGGCTATGCCTTAACGTATTTGCTTAGAAATTGGAAGAGAGATTGTAGCTTTGATAGAAGGCAGCCATGTTAATTTTGGAGACAAAATAAACAGCTAATGCAACACACATTTAATTTAATCTTTCCTACAAAAAAAAATGGCTGCATTTGATAGAACTTTTTATAATGGTTAAGAGCAGTAAGGTAGACCTATTTTGGTTCGGGGCATGGTGGGGGATGGGATTTCTTGCAAATTTGTATGTTTTTTTGAAGTTGTTGCATGTTCAATTCAAATTTTTTAACAAGTCCTTGATGTTTCAATTTAAAAGTGACCAGTGGGGCTGAGGCTGTGTCCACTGAGGCTAAGATGACTGCCTTTCCTGATTGGCCATGGCTTTTCCATACATTGTGTGACCCTTGCCCTATGACCCTTTGGCTGACCTTACCGGAAGCCATGACGACAGCAGCCTTTTGCCATTAGACGCAGGGTGATGGTGAGGATTCCAAGGGTTAGACAAAACTGGTTAAACTGAACTAGGTGACTGTTACCTTGCGTGTGTTGTGGCCAAACCACCACCATATACCTCATACTGTGATGTAAGTACTTAGTGTAATCTAGTAAACGTTTTTGTAAATGTAGAAATGCATGTAATCAGTTAAGTTTTATATTTTACAATGTTCTGTAAAATAAAACTTAGCGAGGTAAATCTAATAAAGGTGCAGTCACTCTCTAACAGAGTTTAGGAGCACAGTCTTGTAGGATTTTAGACTTTGATTTGCCTTTAATATATAGAATATGGCGAATTAAAATTTTGTTGAAGGATTAGAAAAATAAAGTCCTACTCCTGTAAATACAGTTTATAGATTAGAGTGAACTGACCTACTTGCTTTTCTTATAAGGTCACTAACTTTTATTTTTGTATGATAAAGGTGGTGGAGGATATAGCAGTCGGAGAGCATCAGGAAGAGATAAATATGGGCCACCTGTTCGTACAGAATACAGATTAATTGTTGAAAACCTTTCCAGTCATTGTAGTTGGCAAGATTTGAAAGTAAGTTAATATAAAAATATTTTCTAAAAAACAACTTTACGTTATTTTTGGTACATCATGTAAAATACAGAAAAGTTTCTGAGTTCATGGAATCTTAAATTTTGGCTAAATAAAGATTTTATTTATTTAAGGATTTCATGAGGCAAGCAGGTGAGGTAACCTATGCAGATGCCCATAAAGAGCGAACAAATGAGGGAGTAATAGAATTCCGTTCTTACTCTGACATGAAGCGTGCTTTGGATAAATTGGATGGTACAGAGATAAATGGACGAAAAATCAGGCTAGTTGAAGATAAGCCTCGATCGAGCCATAGACGATCTTACTCCGGCAGTAGATCAAGGTATTTATATAACTGGTGTTTATTTGATATGAAAAATCCTTCAAGATTAAACTATACTGTGGTAGCACAGTAGTTAGAACTGCAGGATAATTCTGCTAACTGCAGTTTGGCAGTTCTTACCAGGCTGAAGGTTGACTGAGCCTTCCATCCTTCTGAGATCGGTAAAATGGGGGCCTAGATTGGTGGGGGCAATATGCTGACTCTGTAAACATCTTAGAAAAGGTTTTAAAGCACTGAGAAGCAGTATATCTCAAGTGCTATTGCTATACATTTTGTTGTTTTAAAACCACTGATGTAGTCTTTCACTTGTTTCTAATGCATCAGATACACTAGAACATTCAGGAAATAAATTTTACGAAAAATCTGTCTTTTGCATAGTTTTTCCAAGCATGGACTAGAACAGTATTCATATGTGTAATAACATTTTGATGATTAATACATTTTGTATGCGTGCAATATCACATTTGGAAAAGATATTTATGTACTTGCACTGTATAATGAAGAAAAAGAATTCTTGATTCCCTCACAATGTTTATTTGGAATATACTCTCTTTAGATCCCGTTCTAGAAGACGATCACGCAGTCGAAGTCGTCGCAGCAGCCGGAGTAGATCCCGTAGTGCCTCAAAAAGCCGGTCACGGTGAGGGCGTGTATTATATTAGATGTTTTACCATTGACAGTATATTAGATATATTTAATAATACCTTCTAAAATAAGCATAATTTAAGAGTGGCTTTTTTTTTTAGCTCTAAATCTAGGTCTCGGAGTAAAGACCGATCACGTTCCAGATCAAAAAGTCGAAAATCTAGATCAAAGAGCAAGTCAAAAGTGAAATCTAGCAGAGGTTCACGATCAGGCAGCAGATCCAAAGAAAAGTCTCGGAGCAGATCCAGGTCTGTGTCTCGTTCACCTAAAGAAAATGGAAAAGGAGAAACAAAGTCTAAATCAAGATCACAAAGCAGATCTCATTCCCGTTCTCCAATGCAGCATCAACCTGCAAAGGCTCATTCTGAGTCTCCATCCAAAAGAGATGTGTCACGATCTCATTCAAAGTCACGTTCAAAATCCCGTTCACGGTCAAGATCCAGTTCACAAGATTAAGATTGGAGCTATTATGCGATTATGGAACATTGTATGGTCAGCCAGAAGTCTTTTTTTAATATTAGTATTTGGTTACCTGTTTGATTTCAGAAAGGAATGGTCTTGTTCACTAAGTAAACAAGATAAAACATTTGAAGTACTTAAAACTTTCTGAGATGTGTACAGGAATATCAGTAAAAAAAGATTTTTTTTCTTTTGGGGATAGAAATTAAGACAGGCTTTTTTTTATTGGAGCCACAGCTGGAATAATACGCTGGGGAGTGGAAAATGGGTTTTATATACAATGTTGAGTGTGAAGATTTTGGAAATGGTAATATTCCCTAAATATTTCCATTATTTTAAAATTAATGAAGGTTAGTTTTATGAATTATGGCTTTCTTCTAAAAGCATAGAAGAGCTGTATTAAACAAATCAAAGATGCCTATAAAGCTAATCCTGGAGTATAAATTGGAATATTTCATTGTGCTGTACCATAAGTTACTAAAAGTAACCCATTTTTCGTTGTGTTATGGCAATCTCACTTAATAAAAACGGCTATCTCTAAATATGCATGGTATAGTTTTGCCTAACACCATAAAACCAATAAGTGTTTAACTCATTTGATAAGAATTCCAGGTGCCAGATAACAATTCCCAATTTCTTCATTAATTTTGCAGTTGCTTTTTTCTGAAAAACAATATTACTTGATCTAAATTTGATAACATTTTGGAACCCAATGTTCTTGCATGAAGTCTCCCACTGTACAAGCAGAAATCCACTTGAGTAATATATTCTTTTTCTTCTGCTATAGTCTATCACATTCTTTTCTCAGATTTTGAAGACATGGATGGCTACAGTAGAAGGAGTAATTATTTCCCTATTTTCTACTACTAGAAGCAGCTTGATTAGTGAAAAATTCTAAACTGTTAGGATTAGGGCTCCAGTTAATCTAAAATAAGTATATGTGAGGTGAAATCCAATCACCAAACTTACATGTAATCAATAAGTTTAGTAAAACAATACTAGTACAATCTTATAATCTTTATACAATGTGTAGTTTGACTTGTATGAAATTAAATCAGTGACTCAAATGTTTGTGTCAGTGTAACTTTATTTAGTAGATAGTATTATACATTAGATTGATTCAGGCAAAATTCACTTGATTGTGAATATATGAGAAAGATCCATTATGATCTATCCCATATTGCAATTACCTTGCTGCTTTTGTAGATTTCTTTCAGCGTTAATACGGTAGTGACTGGGAAGTTTCTCATTTTTTAGTTTATTACTGTTGCAGTATATTCTACAAATCGGGGGAGGGTTGCCTTAAAGTCAGTTTTTAATGCTTGTTAACTGCCTCTAGTCACTGCAATTTTATCAAGTTTTTTTCAGAAGTGGTTGCCACTGCCTCCTTCCTAGGACAGGCTGAGAAGCTGGCCCAGTGTCACCCAGCTGCTTCATGCCTAAAGTGGGACTAGAACTCATAGTTTGCCAGTTTCTAGCCTGATTTTCAACCACTATACTAGATTGGCTTATTAGTGTCACCTTGTCCTGTTCTTGAATTATTTTTCTGTACTCATTGGAAATGTTAATCAGCCCTTGCTTAGTTGCAAGTTTTTAAACCTATGTAATGTATATTTCAAGCTTCCAATAAAAATATTTGTAGTGTCATAGAAGTCTTAACTTGGTTGTTTTCTTGCAGATATTTCATTATCCAAATTAGGTAACATCATAGCAACAGCACTTAGACTTGTATTCTACTTCATAGTGCTTTACAGCACTAAGCAGTTTATAGAATCAGCATATTGCTCCCTCAACAATCTGGATTCTCATTTTACTGATCATGGAAGGCTGAGTAAACCTTGAGCAGGTCAAGATTGAAGGAATTGAGTTCCTGGCAATGAGCAGGGTTCACCTGCAATATTGCATTCTGACCACTTCCACCAAGGCTCTGGTCCATGCTAGACTGATGTTACCTATTTTGGGTCATGAAATATCTGCAAGAAAACAACCAAACTAAAAAAAGCACCAAGCGCGCCCCCCCTCCCCCCCAATATTTTAAGCTGGTTTCTAATTAAATGTAATTAAGCAGCTCCTATTCAAAAAAATGTCTTTGAACAAAAACTGTTAATTGCATCCTGTATTGTAATGCAGGAGAATTCATAATAGCAAATGTTTTATTTTATTCTTTGGCCGAGAAACAAATTGAAGTTACAGAAGGGCTCAGAAATCACTCTTATTATTTCTGAGGTGTTTAGGGATTAACGTAAACAGTGGTCTGTTTATTAATTTGGTTCATTATGATAATTAATTGCCCTAGTTTTCATACTTGTGAAATTGGAAACATTAGGATGCTTATTTGAAGGTTGTTCAAAAACTTGTATTTGAGAATACTACCTCTGCTCTCGGTAGTGAAAAATAGAAATTTGATCTACTGGTATTGATGTTCTTTTCTCTTGATATATTCTTTAGACAAAGTGAACATCCCAGTACAGGTAGTCCCTATTTAATGGGCATTTGTCAATGTTTGTTCAAAGTTATGATGGCACTGAATAAATGGTGCTTACAACTGGTCCTCAAAATTCTGGCTGTCTCAGCATCCTCATGGTCACGTGATTGCAATTTGAGCCTTAGGCAACTGGCTTGAACTTCATGATGTCCTGTGGTCTCATGATTGCCATCTGCAATTTTTCCTGCTGGCTTCCCAGAAGCTAAATCAATAGGGATGCCAGGAGGAAAGGTCACAAATTGCTCCTGTAAATCATTCTCACCCTCCTCATTTCACTGCCTGCTCTGCCTTCTGCCACACCTTGCCTGCTACCTTGCAAGCTGCCTGTCCTTGTTATGCCCAAGTGTTATGTTTTGCAGAGAACATAAGTGGTTTTGTAGCTATTAGCCCTTCAAATATTACATAAATTTGAAGTTACTTATGATTAAAGGGGCCTAGTTGTCAGGAAAGTGGAATATTACCATCTTAAAATATAAAAACCATGGTTTCTAAATTTGAATGGGTGCAACTGACCTACCTACAAATATAACAGAAGGTCTTTGGTGAAGACCTCCAAGGTCCCTTCCAACTGTTACTCAGTTAAATAACCAAATTGTTATTTAACAATAACCAAATGTTAATACTATTAATACAATACAGTTAATATAATATTAACAAATAATGTTAATACCAAATAATGTTAAATTACTGAGTGCAGAGAAAATGTGTGTGTTGCTTTTATCAATTTGAGGAATAATATTGCTAGAGAAGGGCCATTTTCCTAATTTCCTAATCTAATTCAAGGAAGGTGGACTGGTTTTAAATCAGTTTGAATTGATAGAATTTCCTTCATCTGAATACTGTTACAGGGTAGGGTAAAGACCATGAATCAGGATTATTGTCACCCTTGACAATTTTTGAACAATATAAATTTGCAATTGACCGTGTATGTTGGGGTATTTGGGCAGTATATACCAACCCTTTTAGAATTCTTAAGATGGAGAAGGCTGTTAAGATAATAGGTCCAGTAAATATCACTTCCAATATATGATGTTCACTGTTTAAGCTGTATTTAATAGATTTATCTATTGCTTAGGTGTCTCTAGGTAGATTTCACAATTTACATTAAAAATGCAATACAAAGTATAAAAATAATTGCAATCCAATCAACAATTGTGCATGAAGATAAGCTAAAATTTCTCTGCTGGAATATGATACCACGGGTTACAGTTAATCCCTAAAGACTTTCCATTTAGATGTCAATGGATGTGCAATAAACTGTCTTAAATGCTAATTCTAACGTTATTTCTATTGCAATGCAGAAATAGAATTAGGTGAAAAATAAAATGGGGAACATCCCTTTGTAGCCAAACTCATACAGCAGAATCAGTGTTGAGTAGCTGAGGTTTCTAGGAATGGATTCAGTCATTCCTTTGTCAAATCATCAGTTATCCTTGCCTTAATTCTCAATGCATATTATGCATGTATTATTGATTTACAAAATAGTGTGACAGTGTAAAATAGTCTGGAAGCGTTAAAGCATAAAATGTCAACATAAAATTTCAGTAGCTTCCCTGGCATCACCTTGCACATCTAGGACAATATAAATTTCACCCATCTTCAGCCTCCCAATTCTGAATAGCTGGGTGGGGTGCATAGATGCACTCCATACAGTCAATGAGTTGCAATAACTTAAAATAATTTAAAATGACAAATAGAACAGTTCACCCAGAATAGGATTATCCACAAATGCTACACAAGTGAAGGGATCAAATGTTTCTGGGCTCTGTAGAAGCATTTACTTGGCTATTGTGGGAAAGAAAATCAGATCAGTTAAAGATTATATTAGATTTTTTATGCTTAATCAAAGCCACCAGACTAGAGATTCTCAGTCATCCAGGTCGTGGTTGTCCCAAAGGTGCTTTTTCAGGAGGCAACTGGGCTTTCTTGGTTTTTTTTCCATTTGAAGACATTTCGCTTCTGATCCAAGAAGTTTCTTCGGCTCTGACAGGATAGTAGGGAATGAAAGGATCCTTCCATTCCTCACTATCCTGTCAGAGCTGAAGAAGAAGCTTCTTGGATCAGAAGCGAAATGTCTTCAAGTGGGAAAAAAGTCCAGTTGCCTCCTGAAAAAGCACCTTTGGTACAAAACCACCAGACTTTCTCAGGGTAGGAACAACTACATTTAGTGTAATTTCTGGTTGTCTTCTATTACTAGATGTGCCTGTCCAATTGCACAGATTTTAATAATTGAAATTATAAGAAATGCATCCTGGCAGCCAGAGGGTGGCATCTTGAGAAAAAAACTGAAGGAGGCCATTTCCTCCCTCCCTTTCACTATCCTACCAAGTACCCCTTATCAACTTCAGGATCAGCTTCAGAAACTACATTACTGTTTTCTAGCTGCAACCAAGAAAGGAGTGTGGATGTCTTCTGAGCTCAAAACTAGCATTTTCTTCAGAGTTTTTAACAAGATGAGATTCCCCACAATGTAGCTGCCTACCTTTCTCTTAGACAGATGTCCAGAGGATAGGTTTGTCCATATTTACAATTAGACGTGCTACATGCATCCTCCACATTCAGATTATTTAAGAAGATTAATTGTGTTTTAAAAAAATAGAAAAGTGAACCTTCTATCTTAATATCTACAATTATAGCCTATGCTTGAACTTGCCTCTCTGTTTAATTTTTGCCTTAGCAGAGACAATGACTTAAAGCGATCAAAGAAAAATCTGATTTTTTAATATAGTAACATTGGGGCCAGGGGATATGGTACAGGTAAGCAGAGTCAAGCTCTGTTTTTCACTTGAGGTCATTCCCTGAGCAGTCCAGAGGTTTTTAACTGCACATATAAATACACCCCATTTTAAACAATTATATGTTCTTGAGCCCTCACCTAAATGATAATGGCCATTGAGCTTATTGTCTTTTAACCTCTTAGCTTTCCTTCCTTCCCATATAATACAGTATAGCTTGCTTTGGATTACGGTGACTAAACTTGGGCCCAGGAAGTGAGCTTGGTCTCCTGCTGCACCTGCCTCTGGAACAACATCCCCCCCCCCGCACACCAGAAATTCATATGGGTCCCACCTTACTCATACTTTTATGTGAGCATTAAAAATCTAGCTCTTCCCTTAGATTTTGAGTTAGCATTTGATGAGGCCTCTTAAATCAAAGAGGTATGTGCAATCTATACATTTAAATAACAAAAGTATAAATTTGATGAATAAGCTTTAAATCACACTCATTTTCCTCTATCAATGATGCTAGACTAAGAAACAGTATTTAACTAAAGATTGCCAAAAAAAAAAAAACCTCCATGGACAAATGTTAATTTGAACTTAAGCACCTACCAAACTTTACTTCAACTTGAAAAGATTTGGTTTCTATTTGGGTGGGAGGCTACCAGAAAATCCACTTTACTAATGAAGTAGTGGTATGGAACTGCTTTTAGAAAAGCTTTCATGCTTCCGAGGAACAGTTGTGATTGAACTGGTACCACATACAGCACATGTAATTACAGTTTTCTTATAAATCAGAGGAATGGATAAAAGCTGAGCAATTTAGCTTTCCATTAAGATTAAAATTCAGAAATACTTAAGG